AAAGTCTTTTTACAATATCTTGCCTTCTCATCATGGCTAGGCTTCGTGAACGAAGATTTGAGAAGGGCTCTACCCGCACTTGCTACAAGCGCGCTGATGGCTAAAAAGGCCAATGCGAGATAGACAAGTCTGGTTGCAGAAGGTGCAGCAGAAAGACTCCCCAGGTGATATCGACAAGATGCGATTCTTTCTGCGTTGTCTTTTCTCCTCCAGAGTGATCCTGCGTGTGTTCTCAAAAGCAGCAGCAGCGTTATAGATGGTGTGTCTCCAGGCCTCCCGATTGGAGGCCAGAGTAGACCAATGGTGGTGATCAATATGGCCAAGGCTGAGGGATTGTTTCAGGCAGTCCTTGTATCTCCTCTTTGGGGCTCCTCTCTCACTGCAGCCAGCGGCAAGTTCCCCACAGAGCACGATCTTAGGGAGGCAGTGGTCCTGCATCCTGGAGGCAGTGGTCCTGCATCCTGGAGACATGCCCTGCCCAGCACAGCTGAGTTCTCTAGATTTTATTCTTAATGGCTTTTTTACTTGTTTTAACAAACTCCTCAGAATTCCAACAGTCCTAGAGCTTTATTTTTTTTCCCTTCTCTTGCTTCTGCAAGGATGCTAAACCCAAGTCAACTTGTTCTTGGCAAACCTGCTCCTGTGTGCTGCTGAAAACCAGGTTTCTCTCTTGTGGCTTTCTGGATTAGCCACCTCATGGGCACTCACTACTAACATATGAAAATAAGATCAGATGTCATCTCCTGGATTACAGCTTGAACTAATTGAAATCTATTAGAATTACACTTTGAAAATTGCATCTTCTGCTTCTCTGATCTCCCGTCATGTCTCTGTTTTCCTTGGTCAGTAGTCACTGTGTAAATCAATGCTGTTTCAATATTCTGAATGCTGCATGCAGTTCTCTTACCCTATTTTAAAACATCTAGAGCCTGTAAGGAAAAAAAAAATATGAGCAGAGCAGCAGAACAATTTCTCACCAGGAGCAAATCTGGAGAAGAGATGAGGAGAAACCTGAGATTTCCAAGTCATGAGTCCAAACAGATTTGTCTAGGAAGCAACCACTGAACGTTTCTCACAACACAAAAAATTAAGACATGAAATAAAATTATCAAGCAGTAGGTCCTAATGTCCTAGCTGTGCTTTTGTGATACTCTCTGATGTGAAATCCAAAAGCTAAATTGATTTACAGTAGGATTAGACAAATTAGCAGTGTGTGGTGGCTGCTGGGTTTTGATGTCTGGAAGCAATCTTTGGCTCAGAATTTTTTTTTTCTTTGAATTTTTAGAAGCTGGGGTATATGTGAGTGAAGAATTATATGGTGCTTTGTTCTCTATACTTCTTCCATTCAGCATTTGCTTCCAGCTGCTACTCCTACTGCCTTATATTGGAAGGACTGACACAGGTTTTTTGTGTGTTTGTGTCCTTCTGAAATGTGGGGAGCAGGAAGCAAGGGGTTGATGTAACCCAAGCAAAGTGATGAGAAATGACGAAGGAAGGAGTTGGAACTGATGGATTCTTCTGATGGAAGATGTCATCATACAGGTTGTGTCTTGAATCAAGTATTCCTTGGGAGTGTTCCAAGGAGGGGTAGGTGCTGTCTGGTGGTGTTCTGCACAGACGTGTGATGAGACACAGAACCATAAACGGCCTTCACAGTTGCCACAAGCACTTACTCGACTTGCTTCTCTTGTTGCTGTGGATATTGGCTGTTCCTATTGACTTCTATTTGTTTGTTGCTTTGATTTTTGTCCAGAGAGGGCAGGTGAGGCTTGTCCAAGGAGTTCCTGCTTTGCTTTAACAGCATTTTTTTAAGAACGGCTCAAGCGTCACTGTGTTTGAGACCAAACTGAGTAGCAAATGTAAAGACATTTAAAAAAGGGAGTGGGCAGAAGAGTGTCTGTAGAGTCAAAACAAATCAAAGTAATATCTGCACACTAAACAGTGGCACTTTTGGGACTGAATTTCTCTGGAGATTTTCAGTGAGTCATTAGACTCTTAAGTTCCTTCCACCAAAACAGGGTTTGGGGAGGGTGACAGTTTCAGGGAACAGAAATACTTTCCAGAATTTCTCTCAGTGCTGGGGTAGAAGAGTGCTTTCTGTGACTAACCATCTTGGACTAGAAGTGTTGCCAAGCTCCTAACTCCAGGCCAGTTCTGCTGAGCTGTCACCACTTGTTCTCATTTGAGCCTACTGTTGCATTTGGGTCTCTTCTCTCTACTTGACCAGTGCTGAAAACAAATATGATGCTACTTTTTTATGGCCTAGAAAGACCATCTTGAACTGTCCCCAGATTCAGTTTGATCATCTGAAACTTTTATCAGCATTATCACAAATCTGTATTCTCTTTGCATCCTGTTGTTAGAGTTCTAGCAAGGGCTTTTTGTGTGTTTGTTCTTTACTGATTGAAGGTGTTATTGCTCCCAGCTGTCTGCTGCTGCTTCCTTTTGCTGGAAGCTGCAGTGTGTCCTTATGTCTCAGTTATTTCTGTCTGCTCAGTGTATTAGCTTGAAATTCTAGTGGAAGTGGCCTTTTGACTGTGAGTGGGACCTGTGTGTTTCTTTCTCATGTGTGTTGCTGGAAGAAGGGCAGAGAAGAGGTTAATGTGCTGCAGAAGAAAAATACATTCTAAGAAGCTGCTACTATGAGCTATGAGTTGTGCCATGAATGAGCCGGTCGTTTCTAATTAAAGCACCACAGACTCTGGTTCTCTTTTTAATAACAAGTTTGGGAGCAGCTTTCATCATGATTTTTAAGATCCATCAAACTATATTGTCGCCACACAGGAATTACATGAAGTGTTTCTCCTTTGTTCAGAATAGTGTTGTTTGGTGTTTTTCAGCTCTGCATTTTCTGTAATGCCTCCAAAGCATAAATTGCTTAAGGCCTCTTGTAGGTATCACACCAGCCACATCTCTTTGTGCCAGTGAAAACCTCGGGGAAAAGGCTGCCTTCCTTTGTACCTTGACGTGCAATTCCAGTTTATGTCCTGGAGAACTGGGAAGGGATTTGTCCTTGTGTCCTGCACTGTGATTTAGTGTGTGTCTCTGAACCTGCAGCAATACAGCCCCAAGTTCCTGGCAGGTCTCCTGGGGCAGGATTTGAGCACATTGAGGAACCGAAGGGTCTAACCAAGGGCTGGCATTTGAGAAGGAGAGATGTAGGTGCAGAACCAGTGTTTCACCTTTGGGCCATTGTGCTTTGTACTGCAGTTTGCAAAGACTGTATTTTCACTCACAGATCATCCTTAAGGAAAGGCTTTACAGCTTATAATGTCCAGTTTTCAATTGTTGTTTTCATTGTAAAGTTCTGCATGAAAGAGTTTAGCGTAGTCATGGTATGCTTCTCATAGAACTTGCCAAGTTCTGTAAGTGATAATGCAGAGATAGCCTCTGGCTGGTGACTGTGGAGAAACAACAACCCCACCAAACCAAAACTTAGATGGAATAAAGCTTGAAAGAATTGATTCTTAAAAGAAAAGAAGCAAGACTGCATGGATAGATTGTTGCACAGATAAGTTGTTTCTAGTGTGTGGTATGCTTGTAAACTAAGGCTTCTCAGCCCTCATACTGTCGCATATTAGTTAATTTCAGAAGTTTTATGAGAAGTATAGTCTATCAGGAACTTCATTATATCCTGACTGCTTTTAATCAGTCTCTCTGAAGACCAGATGGTTGTGTCTGTTGTTGGTGCCACTCTGATGTTGAAATAGTACTTCTAGGAATGAAATATTTTGCTTTCTTGTTTTTACATTTTATCTTTGTTATGAAATTTCTCTTCCTAAAATTTGTGCATTCTTGGTTTGGCTTTTCTCACTCTGTGTTCCTGAATTTATATTAGTAATAGTTTTTTGGGTTTTTTTTATATTGTGGTGCCCAAAACTGTACACAGTACTCAAGGTGAGGCTGCACCTTGAAGAGCAGAGTGGGTTTGTTCAGCCTGGAGAAGAGGAGAGTGAGGGGAGACCTCCCTGGGGTCTTCAGCACCCTCACAAGGGGCAGTGGAGCAGCAGCACCGATCTCTTCATTCTCATGACCAGTGACAGGACCCGAGGGAACGGCTGGAGCTGAGTTGGAGGAGGTTTAGGTTCGCTATCAGGAGAAGGTTCTTCACCCAGAGGGTGGTTGGGCACTGAACAGGCTCCCCAGAGAAGTGGGCACAGCCCCAAGGCTGTCTGAGTTCACTAAGCATTTGGACAATGCTCTCAAGGATGTGATGGAATTGTTGGAGTGTCCTGTGCAGGGCCAGGAGTTGGACTGGATGATCTTGATGGGTCCCTTTCAACTGAGCATGTTCTTTGATCCTGTGATGATTGTTCTGGTCCCCTTAACAGAAGCAATAGCAGCAATCTTGTGTGGCCTGAACATTGTAGCTACCCCATATATCTTTCAAATAATCTTGCATTCTATAAAAACCTACGATGTACAAGACTTTGAGGTGCCTCATGCAGTCTGAATAGCTAATTGATTATGTGATATATTGGATTGGGACAGGGAGAGGTCTGTAGGTCCTGATCCTCTGACATAGAGAAGCAGGGTGCAAGCTCATTTCTGAACAGTTCACATTTCTGGAGTTCATCTGGTTTCAGATTCTTTTTGGTTTTATAGTGCAAGAGCAGCAGAGTCAAACTGGGATCTTGGGCTTGTATTCTAGAAAGTGTCTTAAAGCATTTATTAAAAAAAAAATCTCCCAAAACAGCAGTATTAGAAATGAGGGTAAATAATTTAAGCTAAGATTGTAGGGTGCACTGATCTGCTTCAGTTTATCTCTTGGGAAGACTTGCACACTTCAAATATAGTATGTTTTGTTATGTCGTACTGTTAATAAAAACTAAATCTAATCCCATTAATTGAAAATGTTCAATATAGAATGTGCTTAAACAGCAGAAATCAATATCATACACCCTTTTTTTCAAAGAAACTTGTGTGAAACCTGGTTCTATGTTTCAGTTCTCTGATAGTCTTTGGGATGTTCTCATACCTGAATACTTTTTTTCCCTTAGGTGAGTGGAATCAAGAGTCTCTATGAGTCTGAACTGGCTGATGCCCGAAGAGTTCTGGATGAAACTGCCAAAGAGAGAGCTAGATTACAGATTGAAATAGGAAAACTGAGAGCAGAACTTGAGGAGTTCAATAAGAGGTGAGGAGAGTACTCTTTTATAATTTTTTTCTTTTAATTGGGTCCTGCACAGGCGGAAGGTTCCCAGGTCTGACTGGCTGTGACACAGCACAGTGGCTTGTTTTACTACACAACATGTGTGACTCAGTGGCCTGTGACATCGCTGCTAAATAACTGTCTTCTCAGAAGTCATGTTTTGTCTGTGTGTCTCCTGCAAGCTGCTGAGTCTGGAGACACTGCACATATGTTGCAGAACAGAATTCACAGCGACAGATTGGACCAATGATTAAGAAAAATCAGTTACAGTTAAATGAAAACAAATTCCAAGATCTACACCAAGGAATGCAGGGAGAAGACGTGAGCCTTGTATCTGGAGTGCATCACAAAATAAGGGTGTTGACTTGGAAAAAGATGCATATCATGTTGAACCATGTAAAGAAATACTGTCTGTAGGGCACACCAATGCCCCATCATGGGGGATTTTTATTAAAAAAGAAAAAAAGCTGTTCCCTGCATCCTGAGTGGTGTGAGACTAGAACAGTGAGCTAAAGCTGCAGCAAGGAGGGATTACTGCACATAATAAAACAGTTTTTTAATTAACATAATGACACACACCTAGACAAGCTGCAGAAAGTCAGTATGTTAGAGGAAAAGATTGATAAATACTTGGTGGGCAGGAGGATGATGACCTTAATGATTTCAGCTCAAATACTCATGTTTAAAGCAGTTGGAGATGCTTTGCCTGTTATCAATATTGCTGAAGAAATACTGTTTTATTGCTGAAAGGCGACCATGTTTCCATAGCAAATTGCTTTGTACTTTGTGTGGGAACATGTCATGAGGAATAGGCTTGGCCACATCAAATAGGAAACCTCGGGGATGCTCAGGCCTCTTTGGGGATTGCATGTGCTCTTCCTCATGGGCTGCACTCTGAAGTAAAAGATTTCAGCAGTTTAGTGTGTTGTGCAGCTGCAAGAGGAAAAAACAGTTTGCACCATGTGTGTATTGTCATCTCTTAGCTTCCAGAGGTGCTTTCTTGTTTTCCCTTGTCTGTCCACGGCATGTTCTTTACCGTGCCGTGAATTTACAGCACACGGTACCGGCTGTGTTCCGGGGGGGTTCAGGTCACTGATGAGCAGCATTTGCAGGTCACTGCAGGAGCTGTGCAGGGCCCGATAAAAGGTGTCTGATACCAAAGTACCTGTGTTTGTGACCAGGACATGCTCAGGATGGGTGGGCAGCCACAAGTCTAATGAACTTTTGTTCTTCCAGCTACAAGAAGAAGGATGCAGATCTGTCTGTGGCTCAGGGTCGCATCAAGGATCTGGAAGTTCTCTTCCATAGAAGTGAAGCAGAACTCAATACTGTCCTGAACGAGAAACGCAGTCTGGAAGCAGAGGTGGCTGATCTACGTGCCCAGCTCGCCAAGGTATGACAGGGAATGCCTCCTTGCTTTAGCACAAGGCAGGCTGTGTAGTGTGAGATTCCCTTTCTTTCTTTCCCGTTAGTTTGTAGTGTGAATATCACTGATCCACCTCGCTTACTGCTGAACCTTTGCCTGCCCCTCTTGGATGCAAAACTAAGAAATCTCTGTAAAACAACCAAAACAACATAGTGTTTTGGACGTTTTGCTCATCAAAAGCTTTTTTTTTTTTTTTTTAAACATTTCTGATGTTTTTATATTCATGGGATATCAGGTTACTAAGTGTTGTCCTTTGTAAGGTCCTCAATAATTTTACACTTGTGCTGGAGTCCCTAGTGGGACTATGCTAGCAAGAAAAAGAGGTTGCAACACACTGTGCTTGAGGAATTAATAATCCTCAGCTCCAGTATTGCAGTGTATTGAAATAATCCTACATTTTAAATAGCTGGTATGCAAAGGTGAAAGCTTGGTTTAAATATCCATTAGCACGCACGTGTTCTTTTTTTTTGGTGGTGTTTTTTGGGGTTGGTTGGTTGGTTTGTTTTGTTTCTTTTGTTGGTGGTGGTTTGTTGGTTGTTTTTTATTAAATCAGTGGCTTGACATTAGATTTTTTATTGTGAATAATTGGTCCAAAGACATCAGATGAGGACCATAAAGGGTTTATGGATGGAAAATAGGAATCCAGACAGAAAAAAGTCTTTATCTTTAAAATTCTGTACTAGGCTGAAGACAGTCACGCTGTGGCTAAGAAGCAGTTGGAGAAGGAGACACTTATGCGCGTGGACCTGGAAAATCGGTGCCAGAGCTTGCAAGAGGATTTGGATTTCAGAAAAAATGTGTTTGAAGAGGTATTATCAACTTAGTAATCTTACTATAGTCCAAAGTTTAGGTAACTTTTAATCAAACTGACTATAAGTAACTACTAACTAGTTCAGGTAGGGAAAATTATTATTATTCTTCCTTTTAAATGGTTGAGTAGTAAAATAGTTAAAGGTTTTGCACCTTTTTACATGGTAAATCAGTGGTGCAGTTGGCATGAGAGAGTATTGTTTCATGGGCAGGGAAACTAATGGAGCAGCTGACTGCTCTGGGGAAGTCTTGTTCCCTCTCTCTGAACCTGCTTGCCTGGCACTGCTCCTTACTTGCACTTGACTATAACCTGGTTTTATTGACAAGAATATTATGCAACTGCCCTGCTTTCTGCAGAGATAGTTTTTTTCCCTTTTAGTGAGTGGCTCTAGTGAGGACCAGAATTTTTGTAAAAGTGGAAATCGGGAAGGGGAAGCATGACCTTCTCTCTGTACCAGATGTGAAGTGTTACATCACTTTACTCCATCCTGGGTGGTTCTGCAAACTCATTCAGTGAGAGTTGCCACTTGCTTCTGCCCTTCATCTCACCTGTGACAGGTGTGCTGTTTGGCCCACCATGCACCAAATCACTTCAGCCTGATTATCTAGTGAGACACTTAGAGCTTTTTCAGTTGAATTTAATTTTTGACAGCTAAGTGGCTGAGTTTCGCTTTACTACAGCACCCAAATAGTACCCAGCTTGGTTTAAGGGATGGGCCAGGGCTGTGTGGCTAAGGACAGGAGACAGGAGCTGGAGCAGGGCGAAGAAACCAACCAGGGAGATCACCTTGAGTTGTGCTGAGCATTTTCTCACTTTCATGCCCTGAAGTGGTTGGATTGATGCAGGTGACTGCAGTGACAGACTTCTGTCTGTTTGTATGACCTTAAAATAACTTTGCTTCTTGAGGAGGATGTGTTGCTTCTGACTGAAGGTGAAGCTAAATGAGACAGCAGAAGTTAAGATTAAAGCTTGCTCTGCTCAAGGGTGGGTGTTCCTTTAGCCATCATTGGAGCTTTCTGATCCTTGCATGGACCAATTCAACATAAAGCAAAAAAGAAATTATTTTTCTTTAGGTTAATGAATGGATTTGCTTCAGTGAAGGGTCCAAATCTCCATTAGAATTAGAATATCATGATTGGGAGTGTGGCAAGTGAGTCCTGCTCATTCTAGTGGTGTTGAACTGCTGGATCAACTCAGCCCTTCACCTGATCTTTTGTAGTCCCCCATGACATTCCTGAGGCCTCTGCACTGTCATTGCCTACACTTACTGAGAGACTGCTGCTTGTTAGTTTGGTTGGTGTAAAAATTCCCCACAGAAGGGAAAGCTTCCTCCATATCACTTCAGGGCATGTTACTGTCAGTAAAAGGGCATGTTTCTGTGGATCTGGTTTTAGATGTAGAGCATTTCTGCAAAACAACGAGTAAAGCTGCTCTGAATTTGTGTTATCCTGCTCTGACTTTCGTGTAGACATGCAAAATTGAGCCTTGCTTTACCTGCTATTCTTCCTCATGGCCCCTGCTGCTGACTTCAGGCCTTCTCCCAGGACTCAGAACCACTCCCTGGTTGGTTGTCCTGCCCTGAAGGAAGAAATTGTTTTTCTCATACCACACATTCAGACCTGGCCAGGTCTCTGCATGACTCTCTGCATTCATACTCAGCATGAATAAGTGCATGAGTAAGCCTTACCTTACTAGTTTGGGACCAGTGTTCTTAGACACAGGAAACTCATACTTCTCTAAAAATGAAAATTTCTTACTACAAACTCTGACCATAAAAAATTATATTTGTCTTCAGGATCGCTTGGGTTGCTGCTTTATTAATACTGTAATCAAAATCTAACGAGGAAGGATCATCAAGTATCTAGAAAAAGATGCAGTTTTTCTCTGTAGTGATTTTTTTAATGTATGTAATGGTCACAAAAGGTAATAATTTTCATCTGATTCCTTGTAGACAGCTATTGTACTGTCAGGATGTATATTGAGAAGGAAAGGGTTTGTAGTGCAGCACATGGAATATCTTAGCTATGTAAAAATTAATGTTTTCTTCTCCTTTCTTCCCCCCATTTTGATTTTTGTAGCATAAAACAGCTCCTTACTTAAACTGTCTGTGGCTATTTTTGAAGCTGGTTTTAGGTGGGATCACTTGAAAGAATTCTATCCTGCCAAATAAGAACAGTAACTTGCATCTGTTAGTGCCCAGTGCAGCAGTTCCCAGGCTTAAAGGCCTGTCGAACTGCAGCTCCTCTACATACACTAAGTAGTTAGCACTGAAATAGTTAATTGCTGTCTGAGTTTAATTGCTTGTATTGTTTACCTTACTGTGGGAATTAATCCCTCTTTTCTTTGTTGCATGCGCAGGAAATCCGGGAAACGAGAAAACGCCATGAACATCGTTTGATTGAGGTGGACACAAGCCGCCAGCAGGAGTATGAATCCAAAATGACTCAGGCTCTGGAGGATCTGCGAAATCAGCACGATGAACAAGTCAAGCTGTATAAGATGGAGCTGGAGCAGACCTATCAGGCCAAGGTAACCACTGCTGTCAGACCGGAATCCCAGTCTGGGAGATCAAACCAGCCCTACTGTTCTTAAGGAGACCAGTAATTATAATTTGAGGAAGCTTTGTCCCAGTGTTCAAGGGCCTCCTCTGGGGCTTGAGTGCAGGTGCATTTTCAGGGAGGTTATAGCCAGAGGTTATAGCCAGTCAATATACAGACATGGAGAATGAAAAGATGACAAGATTTGAACAGGGGAATGATGAATAAATTAAGTTGCTTTTTTTCCCCACGTACAAGATGGTTGTTATAAATGAAGTTGGAATGTTAAGGGAAAGGGGCTTGGCTGTGAACTTCGTTCTGGGGATTACTAGACAAAGATGTGTCCCTGTTAGAGACCTGAGCTGGGGAGGAAGATGATGTCAAAGCAGATTGTTAAGTTTTGCTACTGAGTGAGTCCAGCTCATTTCTTGCACAGAACAGATGTGGAGCTGCTGGAGCAAGTCCAGAGGAGGTCACAAAAGTGATCAGAGGGTCGGAGCCCCTCTACTCTGGAGAGAGCTGGAAGAGCTGGGGTGGTCAGCCTGGAGCAGAGAAAGCTTTGGGCAAACCTTTTGCAACCTTTGAACACTTAAAGAGGGCCTGTAAGAAAGATCATCATGATCTTTGATAATAAGTAATAAAAATTCTAAATATGAGGATTTGGCACTATGCCAGCATGACTATAAGGTAGTGGGTGGTTGTTAGAATTCAAATATTTTGATTTTAAAGCTTACAAGAAGTAGTGGAGTGTGTAGTTGAAGTTCCTTCAAAACCCATAGCCTGAAGAAGGCTCTGTGTGCTGCTTAGAACTTAGTGAACAGCACAGCCAATGAAGATTGATTTTATAAAGCTTTGTGCTGTGTGGCTAAAAACATCTGCCTTAACAGTTCTTAACATTGGGTTAGTTTAGTTTTTGAGTGGATTCCATGGTGTGTGGCAGAATTGTTGAAGTTCAGCTGCAAGGCATGCAAAGGATGCTTTTTCTCGCTGTCTGCTTTGATGAAACCTATGTTGTACCAGCCTTGAGCTCTGTTGTTGCTCTCTAATTTGGTTAAAATTAGCCACTAGAAATTAAACTTGTTCACTAGGTGAGTTTAAGAAAACAAATTGGATGTTGGCAAGTATTAAAGAGAAAAAGTAAAGAGAATAAACCAAAAAACATTGTTTTGCCTCTGGCAGAATGTCATCTGGAGTGCCGTGGGTAGTTTTATTGCTTCTTGAAAAGGTACTACAGAGTAATACAGAGCAGACTGACAGAGACAATTAAGAGTATGAAAGAGGTCATGCATGAGGAACGTTTTTAAAATAAAACTTCACCTGGAAGAGATGCCTTGAGAAAAAGGAAAGATACAGTGAATGTCTGTAAAAGGGTAAATAGCATGGGGAAGATGAATGAGGAGTGATTTCTTTGGGGTTTTTTTTCAGTAGAAGCAGGGCCATTGTTTTTTGGGCATTCAAAGAGGATTGTTCTTTATTAATACAGAGCTATGCTCCTTGCCCCGTAAATTCAAAAAGCAGAGACCAATTCTTGCCTGAAAATCCACAGAGAGACAGTAAGCAGCAAAATATTGTCTCTGGCTTAGGAAGTCCCTGAGTTGCAAATGGCCAGAGGAGACATAATACCTGTGGAATGTTTTACTGAGTTAGCCCTTGGGCATCCAGGGAACCTTTGGACCAGTACATGGACTTGGTAGGCAGCATTTGCTGTTGCCCAGTGTGATTGGTCTTAGGACAAACAGGCAGAGCATGTGGTCACTTTTTTTGAAACACTAAGGCTGCTTGTATAATGGAAGGGCTGACAGACTATTTTTTAAACAGCATAAGCAAATACTATAGGAATAGGTCTAAAATAGATTTTTCTGGTCCTTTCCTGTATTTGCTTAATGTTATGTAGTTCTTATCCTAAACTCACCAGATGTCCATTTAAAATTTTTTAAGATTAAATAGTTGCTATTTTTTACCAAAAGGATACTGCAGGGTATCTAACTCAATGCAAGTGACCTGTATAAAACTTACCTTCCAGCTGGAGAATGCCAAATTGTCCTCTGACCAAAACGACAAAGCTGCCGGTGCAGCGCGGGAGGAGCTGAAGGAGGCTCGCATGAGGATAGAAGCTCTCAGCTACCAACTCTCTGGCCTCCAGAAACAGGTAAAGGAACTACATTTGCTGACATCTTGAACTGTTTTGTGTGGGTATATTAACATTTCTAGCCCTTCGTATGTTTTGAGTATTACGTAGAGAAGTTTTTGGTTTTGTTCATTTGGGAGGGAGGTGAGTTTGAACCGTTTGAGTGGTTGCTCTGCCTAGGCCAGCGCAGCAGAGGATCGCATCCGGGAGCTGGAGGAGATGATGGCTGCTGAGCGGGAGAAGTTTAGGAAGATGCTGGATGCAAAGGAGAGGGAAATGACAGACATGAGGGACCAGATGCAGCTTCAGCTTACAGAATACCAGGAGCTGCTTGATGTTAAATTAGCACTGGACATGGAGATCAGTGCTTACCGAAAACTCCTGGAAGGAGAAGAGGAAAGGTACGTACAGATTCCAGTTTCTTTTCTAAGGACTAGCAGGTGTTATTTTCATTTCTTATGCTTATCTTTTTACCGTTTGAGCAGGAATGCCCAGATCTTCTTTCACTGAAGTTATATTGGCTTCACACCACTGTGTGTTCTACGGAACACGTACATGGAATGCTTGTTCTCAGCTGAACACCATCTTTATGTTTTTTTGGTTTTATAGTGGTCTTGGAGTACAGTTGAATATAATACTCTGTGCTTGGTTTTCATCTCTTTTTATTTAAGTGCTTGTGCTTCTGCATTTTCCTGGTTTTAAATCACGTGTCCTGCGAATAGTGTGTTCAGCAGTAGCTGTACTGGAAGGGAGGGTTAAGTGACCTGTGTTGCTCTCTTTATAGCACTGCTTTCCATGTCATATATATCATACTGCCAGAGTATTCCTCAGGGATGGTTAGCCCCCTCCTCCTCATGTATGCAGTCCTCTTGACACAGAGCAGCGAGGCTGCTGTCAGCAGCACGTTACAGTCTGGTTACTGATGATATTGTGGCTTTGTCTGTTGTTCCCTGGGTGAGTTAATTCAAATGCTTTTTTGATTGCTTTAAGGTTGAAGCTCTCTCCAAGTCCCTCCTCCCGTGTCACAGTCTCTCGGGCTACCTCCAGCAGCAGCAGCAGCAGCACTTCCCTTGTTCGCTCTTCCCGAGGCAAGAGAAAACGCGTGGAAGCAGAGGAGCTGTCCGGCAGCGGGACAAGCGGCATCGGCACTGGCAGTATCAGCGGCAGCAGTAGCAGCAGTAGCTTCCAAATGTCCCAGCAAGCTTCAGCCACAGGAAGTATCAGCATAGAAGAGATAGACCTGGAAGGCAAATACGTTCAGCTGAAAAACAACTCAGAGAAGGTGAGTGTCAGAGGAGAGAACGAGGAGGAGCCAAACTGAGATGCTGCAGAGCCCTTTGCAGCACAAGCAGGTGCAGGCACATGGAGAGTAGGAGCAGCATCTCAAGATGCAGAATCCTGCAGGAATTAAAAGGAGCACTGAAGAGTTGAACGTTATGGTGGGTTAACATGAGTGTAATGTTTGCTGCAGGAAGAGAACACAGTTTGTGTTCTAGATGTGTAAATGTGTGCTGGAATATTGCTCATGGAAACAGCCTGCTGTCTAGCAGAACGTTGTGTGAAATGAATACCCTTTAAAATGCTGAATGACCTTAAGGGACTTACAGTTTAGACTCTTACTGGATATAGAAAAATACTTTCAAGGTAGAATGCAGATGTCTAACAACCATGCAAATACATTTATATTCACATTAATTTAATAACAAAGACCTAAAGAAAGCTCAGATACCTGTATGCTCTGTTTTGTTCTCTCTAAATAACCTTCTAACTCTCTCCTTTAGGATCAGTCTTTGGGTAACTGGAGGCTGAAAAGACAAATTGGAGATGGAGAAGAAATTGCTTACAAATTTACTCCTAAGTATGTCCTCAGAGCTGGGCAGACCGTTACAGTAAGTTGTACTTAAAATATGTCAACAACATATTCTTTTGTTGATGCTGTGGCAACAGTTGTAAACCTTGAAGTTTGGTACAGCATGATTTGGTGTATAACTTTTGGTTTTATGGGTCTCACTTTAGAAGAACAGGATTTCAGTTAGAAAAATGCAGAACATAAATACTGAAGTGCTAATATAGAAATTCAGTATTTAAGACCACTTTTGGGGCACAGAGAAAACTGAAGAAAAAGGTATTTTGGGGAACGGTTCAAGGACTATCTGTTGTCAAACACGTTTGCCCCAGTTTGGAACACTAATCCTGCTCAACCTCCTAAAGAAATGGGAACATTTCAGAGCATTCATTCAATCTAGTGGACTGTAGTTAAGTTTAAGACTACAAATAATAGTATAGTTAAAAGTAGGGTAAAACAGCCATTGGAATTCAGAAAAAAAACCTGGTATGTAGAGAGAAATAGGAGAATCAGGGGTAACTGTATTGCCTGAACAGTGAATTACAGGATGTCTTTCTGCGTAGATTTGGGGTGCAGATGCAGGTGTGTCTCACAGCCCCCCCTCTGTTCTCGTGTGGAAGAATCAAGGCAGCTGGGGCACTGGAGGGAATATCCGCACTTACCTCGTCAACTCGGAAGGAGAGGTAGGCTGTGTCAGAGGGCTGGGGTACCTGCCACACTCTTCCATTGGAGGGTGGGGTGACATGGCACAATCCTGATTTCAAGATCTCCCCTATTATCTTCTAACATAGAAGAGTTTACAATTCTGAAATAATTAAGTATCTGTACATATCTCTGACATTTTTGGGATGTTTTTGAAAACTCTGATCATCATTATGATTATGCCCATAGACATTTCTGTTTTATAAAAACACACTGCTAGTACAGAATTTGTTTGGAATTTGAGTATGTACTTTCAGAAGAGACAAAGAAAAGAAACACTGCTGGCAATTCAAAGTTCCATTATATAGTGCCTATGATATTCTGGGGTGCAGTGTAAATATTAATGTAGGAAGATAGCTGTCATTTCCATGTTGGAAGCATATCACGAGTTCTTATTTGGCAGAGGTTCCTGTATATTCTGCATTTTCCTACATCTGCCCACAGTTAATGTTTCAAAACCATCCCCACAGATGACTTTTGCAAGGGAGAATAGTGCTTTGGCTGTTACTCATAAGTGTGCTGTTATCCCAGCATTAGAAAAGGGAAACAGACTGCATTTTACCTGTTCTTGCGCTGCCTTTCTTGCTGGCAGTTCTCTGGCTGCACTTTGTGCACACTGGGAGATAGGGGGGGGGATCATGTGTACAAATAAAAAGCTAACTGTCTCAGTATTCAGAGTGGTCAAAGGAGTATCTGAAAAAACTTCAAATCCATGTCTGTTCCCACTGTGGTCACCTTTAGTGTCCCTGCTAAGAAATGTATGTGAGGGACAACTTCTTCCACAACTAGAGATTTGCATCTCTGATTTCCAGGGTGCAAGTAGATAGAAGAATTTCTTACTACTAAGAAGTGTTAAAAATAATTTAGTAATAAAGGAAGCTTCCCGGGGTTTTAGAATTCTTTTTAGTGACTGGCTTGGAAGACCATGCTGATAACCAACATATACAATTGAGATTGAATATTCAGTAGAAATTGGGAATATTCTTAATGCTGTGTAATCATGATGAAAAAGTTTAGTTTCTCACATTACACTGTGTCTCAGACAGCTCCTACCTGTGTCTGCTGTGACCTTGCATAAAATTGAAACATGTCTGCTTCCTCTCAAATCCCAGGGTAACAAAACAAAACTCCTGTGGCTAAATTACATTACCACCCCTTTTAATGCACACAGATAGGAATGATGTGGTTTGCAGGATATTACCAGTATTTGCTTCCATAGTTACGTTAAATTTAGGTCAGGTTGCTTTAAACCCTTGATATTTAATAGGGGTGATAAATTGATAGTACAGCAAATACATAAGGAATAGATCAAGACTACTTCTCTGTCATTTTGTGTAGGAAGTTGCTGTGAGAAGCGTTACTAAATCAGTAGTCGTGCGAGAGAATGAAGAGGAAGAGGATGAAGCAGAGTATGGAGAGGAGGACCTTTTCAACCAACAGGTAATCAGATGCAGACGTTTATTTGTGCCTCACTGCTCAGATCAATCAGGCATAAGATTTAGGGAGTTCCTTCAACTCTTGTCAACTCTGAGTGTTCTGGTCCATGTTTCCAGCGGTTGCTTGGAATCCTGCAGCACTGCTGCAAGGCACAGAGAGAGCACAGTGTGAGCAGGGCAGCCAGGAATTGCTGCTGGCATCCAGCCTGGTACAGCTCAGGGTACCTGTGGCAGAGTGCTTCTGATCACACATTTACAGCATTATCAGACTGTTCTTCCTGTTCAGTATCTGCTGCTCTGTAAAGCAGAGCTGGGGCATTCTTGCTGCAAGCAGAATATAACCAGATAAGCACTGAAAACCAGGAAAGGGGGGTGCCTCTGTTCTGCAAGCTTCAGCTTACTGGTTTATTTTATGATACAATATACCTTCTACATCTGAAATAAACTTGTTTTTTCTTAGTAATACCACCTGTATGTTTTGATAACACTTGTGAAATAACCCACCAGCAGCTGGCATAGTGAAAAGGAGAAAGATGCTTCATACAGGTGATAGCAGAAAATACTTTAAATTTATTTGAAACTCAAGCGATTTGTTCCTCTGATCAATGGCTATTAGTAGCTCTTTTCACAAATAACCCATTCTGTGAATGTTTGCAGGTGAATTCTGAAAGCTTTTTGGTCCTCAGGACATTAAGCAATTTATTTGTAGTACAAAGCAACTGAAACAGAAACTTTTTCTTACCCAAAGAAGCAGCTTTGCAGCATAGATCTTTCTCAAATGGATCAGCATCTGAAATAAAGGGAGGAACTCGTTGGTCTAAAGCAAATGACATCACAATTTTCACTTGACATCTCTATCACCGTCGGAAGCACAAAGAGTAACCAGTGAACCCCTGGTAGGGAAGCACCCCTAGAGGAGCAGTGTGTCAGTCCTGGCAGCACTCGAGGCCGTGTGCGCTGCTTTCTCCACAGTTGCGATGTTCCCTTAAGACAATCAAATTACCAAAAAAATGCTTTTGACAACAGAGATGATAACCAGGATTTACACTTACAGTATGAACAGCTGATGAGAATTAAATTCAACTATGTCTGTCTTATTTTAGGGGGATCCCAGAACAACCTCTAGAGGATGCTCAGTGATGTGAAAAAAGAAGAAAGAAACTATTATTTGTGCTTTTTTCCCTTCATTTATTTCCTTTTATTTTTGCTATTTTTTCCCTCCGGAGCCACTGAAAACTATTTTTATATGCATCATCTGATTTCTTTGAAGTTTACTCCTTGGTACATTTTTATAAAAAAATTAAAAAAAAACCTTTTCTGAACAAAACTGCCAGAATTTTTAACAGATTTCTTTATTTTTCCCTCTTTGTTGAAACACTATATTGGAATACAATATTTTTCCCCACACAGAGTTTAAAGTCTTATGTAGAAACCTAAAGCAGAAAAGAGATTTTTTTAGCTAAAATGAGATGAGACTCCTTGAGTGTATGGTAAAAATATAATTATATATATAACCAGGATAACCTCCCCAGAAAAGAAGTTCTATGAAGTGGGTTCATCTGCAAGGCCCTGGGAGAGATTCACAGAGTGTTTCCTCCACAATTGCAGCAATGTTGCCTGGTATCCTCAGCAATGCCCAACTTAGGAAAATTAGACCCCAGCTTCATTCCAAGTGGTGTTACACAATGGCAGTGACACAGGGAACCTGCATTTTAGGCATTTAGGACTCAGGACTGTGCTGTCACGTCCTGCTCCCAGGTTTGACAGCCCACTGGTAAAATCATCTGAGTCTGTCACCACCTGAGCTGTGTCATCTTTCCAGAAGAGGGAAAATGGTAGGTTCTGCTTCCTGAATATACACACCATCCTAAGCTGGAAGTGTCAAACCCAGAGTCTGAACTGTTTGATTTTCAGGGGATTTTGCCATTGTCTCAAGTGAGACCTTGTTAAGTTGTGGGCACAAGTTGTGATAGTCAGTATTTATCATTAATGCTTCTGACATATTCAGCTTTAAACAGATTGATTAAGAAGTTAAACAAATTTATACTTTTGGCAATGATAAATAGTGGGGATTTTAAAGGTTATCCCATGTAAATGTCGACTTTTTAAATCAGAGCTAGATGCAGCTTGTTCATACTTCTCTTATGTTCAAAGGGGCATTGTCAGGTATCCTAAGGAGCAATATTTGCAAAATACTGCAGAAATAGTTGAGTGACTTTTACATAGTTCAGAGGCACTGCCGCTGTGCAGGACAGAAGCATTGCTGTGCAGTGTGTTTAAGTGCTCGAGGCAAAGTCCAACAAGGAGTGAAGGGAGAATAATGTTTTTTATAAAAAATGCTTTGTATGGGTAGCAGGTGATTTTTATTGCAATGGGATGCGTTTTGTGTCTGACAGTGTCCTTTTAGCTTAAGGTTTCTGCTGCTGCATTTCTCTGGAGAGAAGTCTGACTCCCGTGAGGGTTCATGTTCCTACAGTGGTGCATCTTTAAGCACAAGGAAAAATATTTGACTGCTCCAAAGAATGCACTGGCTACTGTACAAGTGAATGTTTTTTTAACTAGTTATTAGTATGGATACAAAATTTGGATACCATTTGGTTCCAGTATAGAATCGTGTTTTTACCTGCACTCTTGAAGTCTTATCTTGTCATTCAAATAGTTTAGACTCATCAGACAAGTGACAAGGTTTGGATGTTTTCGGTGGCTTTTGGACATTATGTTCTCTGAACAGTATTGTGACTGACAGATATAACCTAGAAAGTCAGTTTAGTGGCTCTGACTGATGGCTTTGTCATGCAAGCAGGGTGGGAACAAAAGGGGCTTTAAGCTTCAGCATTTATTTTGCCATTTAAAAATCAATCAAAGATGCTACTTTTCTCTAATTAAGTGGGATGACTGAATTGCTGAAGTTAAACTTATTAGACATTTAGAATTATGTTTTTACTCCATTATCAGAAGATCCATTACAAAAAAGCCTGATGACGATTTGGCTGTTTGGGCTGTGGGATAACTCCATTGATGTACTTGGCCATCTTTCTAATGTAATTTTCCCACTCTGCTTGAGTAGAAGATCAAATATGTAGTAAATCATGTCTATCTCTCTGTAAGATGTATCTAGTGAAATTATGTTTCTCAGACATACTGTTATAATTATCTTTTCTAAATTTGTTGTTATGCAAATGAATGCAATCAATGTATTTTTGCAGCACACCTTCCAACCACTGGACAGCATTTCCCTTTCTGATCCACAGCTTCTATAATATACTGACATAGTGTTTGAGGGCTTTTTGCTTTTTCCCTAAAGATCTGTATTTATTTTTTTTACATGGGCCAGTTTTTGGACTGCTTATTCTTTAAGATTGTTCTGTGATCTTAAATACTAAAGCAATGAGCGTGTAGTTCATTTGCATTTTTTCTGTGATTTTTGTTTGTTTCCTGTAAAGAATGGCCTCGGAAAGGCAGCTTGAATGAGGAAAAACCTCTTGCTACCTGAGCCATAGTTTTCTTAACAGCTACTGTATGGGGAGTGTGTCTTCTTGTAGCCTTAAGAACTGGTGCTTGCAAGATCTCTTGTGACGAGCACTGTGCCCTTCCGTAACAGTCTGCAGAATTTGTCCTTGGAATTGGAACTGTGTCCTTAAACTTTGGAAACAGTTTATTTGATTCTTCAAATAAACATTCTACCATGTTTAGGTATATGCAGGTCGTACAAACCAGTGATGGACACTGTGGGAAAGCCAGTCCGAATGTGGATGATTCTGTTACCACAGTGCTTTATAACAGGCTACTAAAAATATGATAATTAACTCCTGACTGTAGATTACAAGACACAGAAGAACTACTGTATTCCATGTACTTTGTGTCTGTGCGCCTTCTCCAGCCACCATCCTGTCCTCTTGCTTTTGATGCTGAGCTTCAGTCTAATGGCGCTGTCCCAGTAAAGCTGGTGCACCAGACTGGGAGGCAGTTTTGTGGCTTTAACAAAACAAAAAGCATTGTTTCCATTTCCCCCCCGTCTTTCAAGGATTTTTGTTCCATTTTCAGGATATTTGAAGATTTTTGTTCAAATCCAGTGTTCCCTTGCCCCCTTTTTCTCTTTGATCTTGTATATGAACCACTCTTGAAGAAACTGGAGAATAGTCAGCAGTTCTAGTCCAGTGCTGATACCTGGTGTAGAGCTTGAAGGAGAAATAGATTTTAAAATGAGAAAAATTATTTTAAGGTGTCTCTGAAGAGGGAAACAAACCAGTGTAACTTTTATCAGAGTAGTTACTTGAGCATAACTACCCGTATGGATGTTCTTATTCCAAAAAAATAACTTTATTCTGGATGAAATAGAAAAAGTTTTTCCTATGTGTAGATCATAACAGAATATGATATAAAATATGGAAAATGCATCCTTCCCCCTCCTAAGCTCATACCACATGAAAATGCTTTTTAGAACAAGTCTATCCATCTGCAGACCTGTCAGGAATGTGGTGTCCTGTGGAGTGAGCCCCTGGCATTTGATGCCTCTTTTTTCTCCCTTGCTTCCACATTTGTTCCTTTAACTGTTGGGTTGTAGTGACTTATTCCAGGGAGCAGAATGGCTGGGATTCCCTTGTAGCTGCACATCTGTATCTCCTGGGATTCCTTTGTTGCCCCACAGCTCTAGTTCCTGTGTTTCCCTTGTTCCTTGGCTCTGACAGAACCCATCGTTTGCACTGACTCGTTGCTCACTTGTCTTCAGCTCCGTGTTGCCATTAGATGGGAGTTGGCTGCATAGTCTGTGTTTGTAGCAGGAACCAAAAGCCTCATGAAGAAAATAAACATCTGCTTCCCATGCCTGTGATGTAAAAGCCAGCCGAGCGTGTGTGCAGCTGGCAGCAGTGTGGGAATTGTGCTGTGGTGGGAAGCAGACTGTACTGTGAAAGGAGATCACTGCGTGTGGTGTCTGTCCTCGAGCAACGGGACACCTCACATTCAGTTCAGGGATCTTAATGGGTTTTATACACCCTTTTTTCTTGTTTTTAATGCTCATACTGTATAAAAGCCCTCTAACTGCAACCTGAACAGAGGTTAGAAGAGACATGTAAACATCTTCTCTATACCCCAGGACACTGGAGAATCTTACTTTTCTTCACATCAGAAGGGTTTTGATGGTGCAGGAAAACATGCATGCTATATGTTCTAGATCTCTTGTAGCCACTTCTCTCCCATTTTCACTGTTAAGCCATTCTATCTCTTCTTTCTGTATCTTCTTTTGAAAGTCTTATCTCTAAACAAAGGCATATCCACATTTGATCCTGGATTTTATTGACACTGTTGGGTCCAAACCCTGTGTGAGCAGGAAGCAAAGCCTTGTTGTGAACCAGTGAGCGGAAGGTGAGATAGTGATTGCATTTTTCAAAGCACTGTTTTAGCTGAATGTCAGGACAAATGATATTGGAGAAATTGTTTTCTCATTTAAAATGGCCTGGGAAACAGAATTTTGATTTGCCCTTCAATATGCTTAGCTTTAAACCAGTTTAAAATTATTTAAAGGTGTTTGGTTTTTTTTTATACAAGACCATATTTACATGCAATTATTATTTGTAAACATAATGCCTTTCTTGAAATGCTAAGGTCTAGAATGATAAGGATGGTCGATATTGAAAGCCTCCATTCAGAATAGCATAAGCAGTGATTTGACTTGGAGTTCAGGAAAATAAAATGTGGTTTATTGAACTTCCAGATTTTGCTGAAGTGATGAGTCTGTGTTGGTAAGGCAGATGTTACTGTGTATTCAGCTACCCAGATCATTACACTAAAAGTACAAGCAATAATCTATTTTAAGTTTAAGCCAAAATGATTTCCATTTGGGCACAAAACGCAGTTGAACTTTTATTTTCATAGCACTGATGCCTTGTGACTTGAATTGTGATTTTTGTTTTTTAATTTTTAAAATTTTTGGGGCACAATTTTGATTTGGCTAGAGGGCACTGCTCAGTGCAGTGACCGCCTCCAGTCAGCTGCTGCAGGTAAATTTTTGGAAGGTTCAAGTTTTTAAAATAAGGAATGGTGAAAAAGGTTGTGAACTGAAACACAGAAGACAAAATTATTAAACTGTTCACTAGGAACTTTAAAATTAAACTACATAATGATCTAGACTTTATCATTTCAAAGTGTTTTTTTTTTTTTTTCTTTTTAGAATATGCATGCCAAATGTCTTGTCTTTTTCAATGATTTGTAATATACATTTTATGACTGGAAACTTTTTGTACAACACACTCGAATAAATGTTTTGCATTTTATTGGTTTCCCTCTTTCTTTTAACCAACCTCGAGGCCATGTGGCCATGAGATGATTCATCCCAGGGGCCCTTCCTGTGTGGAGAGAGAGAGGACACAAAGAGCTGTCCCCGCTCCTAAGGCTGATCAGCTGTGTGCCCCGGCGGGGGTCGCGGGCTATTCCAGAAGCAAACGAGCGCTTTCCTTATCAGGACGCAGTGCTGGTGGAAAGTGCTGTCCTCTCTGATCAGCAGCAATAAGTGCAGCAGGAAGAACATTAGGAGCTGGAGCGGGTAACCATCCCCTTCTCGCCACCCCCTGCACTGAAGGCGTTTTTCCATTAAACCGGCTTGATCCTGACATGAGAAGGGGAGCATTCCCATTGCCCCTCCGCGGGGCTGCGCTGAACCCCGCTGAACCCTCGAACGCTGTGTCTGCCCCCGGCCCGGCCCGGCCTGGCCTTTCCCCGCCCCGGGGAGTCCCTTCAGAGCCCTCGGGGGGCCGCGATCGGCGGTGACAGCCGCGCTGGCGGACGCGGTGCCCGCCCGGGCCGTCGCGGAGCGGCCCCGCTGAGGCGCTGCCGGAGCGCTCGGCTCGGCCCCGCCCGGCGCGGGGCTCGCCGGGAGCCGCAGTCCGAACGCCGCCATTTCGCCGGCAGCGCGGGGTCTGAGAGCATGGAGAGCGGCTTCGGCTCCGACTTCGGCTCCGGGGGCGGCGGCGGGGGGAAGCTGGACCCGGGGCTCATCATGGAGCAGGTGAAGGTGCAGATCGCCGTGGCCAACGCGCAGGAGCTCTTGCAGGTCAGGAAGGGAGGCGGGCGGGGCTGGCTCCGTCCCGCTCCCCGTCCCCGTCGCGCTCCCCTCGCGGCCGGAGCCGCCGGGCCGCGGTGCCGCTCACGGGCTCTCTCCGCAGCGCATGACGGACAAGTGCTTTCGGAAGTGCATCGGGAAGCCCGGCGGCTCCCTGGACAACTCGGAGCAGGTGAGGGCGGGCGGGAGGACCGGGGACCCGCGGCCCCCGGCTCGGGGCGGCCGCTGAGGCTTTGTGTCCCGCAGAAGTGCATCGCCATGTGCATGGACCGGTACATGGACTCCTGGAACACGGTTTCCCGAGCCTACAATTCTCGGCTGCAGCGGGAGAGAGCCAACATGTGACGCGCGTCCCGGCCTGCGGGCCAGGAGGGACCATGTGAGGAAGGGACGAGAGGCCAGTCCAGGTGGTTGGGGGTGAATCCTGCTGCCTTCCCAGCCCCTGCCATGGCAGAGCAATAAACCCTCGCTAAACCTTTTGCATCCATTGGCTTTTATTAGCACCAGCCCCAGGAGGGAGTGATTTTTTTTCCAGTCTTGAGAGCCACCATGAGCTGCTTGATTTACTTCTTGCCCTTCCCAAGCGTCCAGACTGGCCAAAGCATTATAGCACTTGATAAATCCCTGCTGAAAGGGCTGCGACAGGCAAGGAGCCTTCTGTGGAAAAGAGGGGCCAAGCCAAGCCAGCAACACAGTCGCTTTGCCCGGGATTCCAGCACGGACCCAGCCATCAGGTAGTTACCCAGTCCTGTCTCATGAGAAGAAAAGCTGCTATAATATTCTCCACATGCCACCTACCTTGGCTCTTTCTTCCCTTGTATCTCTATCTCTGTGGGGCTCACTTTGGGCTCATAGGCTGTGACTCAGCTCAAGCAGTATTGGGGTTGCAGCACAGCCTTGCAAATAGTTGTGCCAGCACAGCTGGGGGAGAGGACAGGGTTGGGAAGTGGTTGGATTAATTTCTTTATAGAATAAAGTGCTTGGGTTCATTTCTTTAAAGAATAAAGTGTGTTGTGTTGCTGTGATACTCTCTAACTTCTGGTTTGGCTCTGGCACAGATGTTCCATCTTGGAGCCTGCCTTCTAGGCATCTTTTTTTTGAGGGAGGAGCATATCTGCAACAGAGAACGTGCGTCTGCTTTGGTGCTCAACTCTGTACTGTTCTCTGCTTACACACCTCTCCTGAAAGGCTTTTTAAAAATCCCTTCTTTTAGAGATCTGCGTTTTATAAAAGATTTCCCTGTTTGCTGGGACATGGAGACACACGAAGGATGTTGTCTCCATACCTGCTTGGACATTCAAAGGCATGTGGTAGAACCTGACTGCATTTAATCTCCCAGTGTGGTGGCTTCTATTAAAGGGATTAAAGTGTTCTCACACAAGGTAAACTGAGGCGATAATGGGGTATTTGAACTTACTGAAACTGGAGTTTCCCTTCCAGATTGTCAGAATGGCTATTTGGAAATAAAGTGCTTTCAGCCGTGTTTGCTTAGGGGCCTTTTTACTTTTATTTATAGCTGTATGAATTTTGTGGCATGGGCTGTGCAGCAGTCCCATCCCATTTCATTCATGGGAACATCCCACAAGTGTTGCAGCCGTGGATCTGAACCCATGTGGAGCTCAGCCATGCCTGGAAGCCAGGTCTCCCACCTTGCTGGTGCTCTAGCTGGGAAGGTGGTGGATCTCGCTGCCAGCTGGGTTGAGACAGAAGAAACCTCTTGCTATGCCCAGATGCAGAGCTTAAGCACCAAAAATGAGGAAGGGGTTTGGGGTACAAGCAGCTGTTCAGTTTTGGTGGCTGAATCTATTGGGGAGATGTCTAAATCTGCCCAAGACTTGGCACATGAGCTCTGCAGCAGTTTTTTTCTTATGAACAAAGTTGTCTGCATGTCTTATGCTTTCTGGTGGGACCTGCCTTCCTGCTGAAGGAGTTGTATCCTCACACCCTATGTCAGCACTTTGACTTTTTCCCACCTAGCTTAACCAGAGCAGTGCTGTGTGCGACCATGCCTTAATCAGTTTAATCACCTGTTCCCTAGTGT